CCCCCCCCCCCCCCCCACACACACACACACACAAAATAATGGTGAATTGCCGAAAGGATACTGCCCATTGAGCAACATTTTCATCAAACATTAGACGGGCAAGCTTATACAAGTACAAATCTCCAACTGATGCGAAAACTGACTGCAGAAGCCGTGGAGCCCTCGCCTAATAAATCAATTAAAACTGTAATTAATTGCAAAAAAATGCAATAATCTATAGTATTCTAATAAAAAAAATTTGTCACTTGTTGCAGAAATGTGATACTATCTTTCTTGGAAAGAGATATTAGTCATCTCTCTCTAGCTTCCGTGCTATTATTTACATCTAACTCATTTTTAATTGAGATGGTTTATCTTTAAAATAGTAAAATAAGTATTTGCTTTGATTAATTTGTTTACTTTTCCATAATGCTACGCACAGGTGTTCATTTTGAATGAGTATTTACCGAATCATAATATTAGTGTAATATAAAGGCAATACCTTTGCAGTGCTAAAAACCAGTAAACTAATAATTTTACTTACCATAAACCAAGGGGCATCGAGTCGAAAGAAAGCCAAGATTTTGTAGAGCAAAGCAAAAATTAACGGGTGCAAATAACTGCGGATCCCCTTTTGCCATTCCCACGTCAAATGGCCGTACCTGCAAGATTGAGAGCTGTCAGCAACCGGGTTTCGGGTCTGAAAACGGTGTGGATCCGATAAGGATGAGGATCTGTACCCGAACGCGATGCGGTGGGCAACCTCGAGGGCTTGCCAGTGCTCGTCGGGGTTGAAGTAGGTTTGGATCAAGAGGGAGTTTATGCATCTGAACGCTAAGCAGAAGACGAATATTCGATTCTCCGATGGAAGATTTGATTTTAAGTGGGTTTTCGATGATTCTTCTTGTTGTTTTGTTTCCTTTTGACGGAGGTTTGGATCTGAGATGGGAGCTTTTCGTCGGTGAAGGCTCATTTCTTTCTTTCTTTCCTTCCCTTCCTGTTGGTTGGGGTTGGCGGGGGTCTGCTAAAGATCGTCGGGTCAGATCCGGGTCGGTTCATTTTTGGGTTTTTTTCGTATTAGTCCCTCGAATCTTCAACAGTTTTATATCAGTCCCTAAATTGCTCATAAATCCCTCACATCCAATGTTTTAAAAAGTCTCCGCCAAGGCATACGCCTCGGCTTAGGAGGTACCTAAGCTGTCTACCTAGTGCCTAGGCAGTATCTAAGTTGCCCGCCTAGGTATGGGATCGCCTAGGGAAGCGTGAGTTGTTTACTGCACTTTTTAGTCCTGATCATAATTTCCTTTGTTGTCACCTTCATGACTCCAACCTCCAAACAATTCTAGCCTCTAACTATCAGCATATCATCTACATCCTTCGACTTTCAATAAAACATCTTCCACCACCACCTAAACAAAGAAAGAAATTTGTCTAGGCATCAATCTAGCGACTACGTTTTCTATAACATTGGCATATATTATCAATTGTAATTTAAAAATGAAAAAAAAGGAAAACCGCCTACACCGTCGCCTACGTTCCCACCTAGCCGCCTAGGCTCTAGGCGTCAGGTTCAATGCCTAGACCGCCTAGCGCTTTTGATAATTTTGTTCATATTCAAAGGGGTCGTGCATAATGGTCCCAAAATGCCCTCATCTTTTTTTTAAATCCAAAAATCTCTATGTAGGCAAACCTCGGCTTTTGGGGGTATTTTAGTCACTGATGGACTAACTTGCAAGATTTCTTAAGATTTGAGAGACTTTTGAGAAATTTTAAATATTTGGGGACCCAGTATGAAATTATTGAAGATTTGATGGATTAATATAAAAAACTTAATGGCATTAACTTTTCCTACCTTGCACAAATATTCCCATTATTTGTTTTTGGCGCCACTTGCAGTCTCTGAATTTTCTAAAATTTCCATTTTAATACGCTATAAAATATGAAAAATATTCAACTGATTATGAGAATGATGATCAAAAGTTAAAAATTTTTAATTTTTGAATTTTATGTTAAATCAACCATAATTCTATTTAAGTACACAGTGATTCATCACCTCATCTTGTGTGTAAAGTCTGAACACTTGCCGTAGCAATATCAGATAGCGATAAGTAAGTTGCCGTAAAAGAGAACATTTATGATATATTTCGATTGCTAGATGAGAAATACATCGGACCTCACTTTATATCATCAAGGCCTTATTTATTCATAATCTCACGCATGCTAAACATTAATAGAAAAGCTGTAGCCTCAAGCACATTAATTAATGTACGAACATTTTAAGCACAACGTCCTCCAGCACTCCTCTGAGCAAACAAAATATCCCTCCTCCCCTCTGTTATGCTTCACCCTCCTCCCCTCCTCCCTCAAAATCTGATACGAGTTCATGATCACCTTCTCCAGCATCCCCTTCAACGCCGAGCTCTTCCCCATGATCGGGCTCACCATCGCATTGTCGTTTGTATAGAAAACGACATACTCAAATCCTTCATTTCTCGACTGTGTCAAAACCCCAAAGTTCTGGGATCTTGTAAAAACGGCGAAAACTTTGGAGAAGAACAGGTTTTTTGAAGTAAACAGAGTTTTGAGTGCTTGTCGGTCGACCGCGAGCTTTGGGGCAGTCGACCGGAAAGGTGCACGACTTAGTACAAATTCTGAATTTTTTGTCAGTCGACCGCGACGATTTCAGCGGTCGACCGCCAAACCCTGTAATCGATTTTGGGTTCTGTCGTTTGCCGCAGTCGACCGCGACGAATTTGACGGTCGACCGCCTATCGAGTTTGAATCAAGGTTCAGGTTTCTGACCCGTTTCGTTTGTTGTTTGTATAAAACCCTAAACATGATTAATTAGGGCTAGATTTGAGCACGATTTGAGCAGTCTTTGAGAGATGATTGTTGCATCCTTTTGTGGGAGAATTGCGAGAGATTTAGAGAGTTTGTTTTAGGGTTTTTTGAGTGAGTTTGTAACCCTATTTGTAATTCTCTTCATCTCTAATAGTAAGAACTCTCCCCTCCTTGCCCCGTGGACGTGGGCAACTTGCTGAATCACGTAAATTGGTTTGTCTTGCTGTGATTGTGATTTCTTGTGTTTTGGTTGTGATCTTCCTCGTTCTTGTTCGTGCACTAATTGGCTTTCAAGCTCCGCTGCGCACAACAAGTGTTATCAGAGCTTCAGGTTTAGCTTGGGGTTTGTTCGAAGGATTCGCTGAAGGATTCTTATTTAGAGAGCTAGATTAACAACATGGGAGAAGCAAGCACATCAGGTTCGTCTCTTACGAAGGCGATACAGAGTCTGAGCATCAATAATACAAAGATTGATGTTCCGAAGTTTGATGGCAAGATCAATTTCGGTTTGTAGAGGTGTCAGGTAATGGATGTGTTGGATGCACAGAATTTGAAGAAGACTCTTGAGTTACAAGAGAAACCAGCTGACATAGAGGACAATGTTTGAAAAAAAAATGAACAGTAGGGCTTGTGGAGTTATTCGGTCATGCTTAACGTCGGATCTTATTTATGATGTGATGAACGAGACGTCGGCGAAGAGATTGTGGGAAGCGCTCAATGAGAAGTATCTTACGAAGAGCATTGAGAATATGCTTCACTTGAAGAAGAGGTTTTACTAGTTCAAGATGAAAAGAGGGTTTTTATTAGGGAGCATGTTAATAACTTCATGAAGTTGCTTTCAGATATGACCAATGTGAACATCATGGTTGAGAATGAAGACAAGGCGATGCTACTTTTGTGTTCGTTGCCGGAGGATGATTATGGAACTTTCGTTCTCACTATGATTAATGGAAGAACTACCGTTAGTTACAAGCAGGTGACCTCAGCATTGGTGAATTATGAGTCGAGGAAGAGTGATGGTGAACCCTCCGAGAAAGCATCGGCAGATCCATTAGCAGTTCGAGGTCGTAGTCCAAACCGTCGCCAAGTCAACCATTCAAAATCGAAAAATAGAGGTGGTTATAAGAGTGTTGGTAGAAATCAATATCGTTTTTTATAAAGAAGAAGGACATTAGAAGATCGACTGCCCAAAGTTAAAAGACAAAGCCGAGAAGAATAAGGGAAAAGTTGTACAAGCTTCAAAAGTGAATGTTAAAAAATCTGTTAGTGAACATTTAGATTCAGATTCTTCAGGCTATTCATACCCTGCACTACCGTCGGTTTGATATGCTGACTCTACAGAGTGGATGTTGGATTCGGGAGCCACATATCATATTTATCCTAGGAGGGATTGGTTCTCCAGGTTTGAGGAGCTGAAAAGAGGGGATGTCGTACTTATGGGTAATGATCATGTATGCCCCTATTAGTGGTATTGGTTTAGTCCGGATCAGGATGCATGACGGAGTGGTTAGGGAGTTGAAAGAAGTGAGGTTCGTGCCGCAGTTGACGAAGAATATCATTTCTCTTGGTACTTTTGAGGCAGGAGGTTATCGAGTGATCTTAGAGGATGCTACTATGAAGGTCACGAAGGGTTCTATGGTGGTGATGCGAGGTATCAGGAAAAACAATCTATACTACTTGAAGAGCAAAACAGTTACAGGGGGTCTGACAGTTTCTATCACTACAGAGGAGGACACTACCAGCTTATGGCACATGCGTTTAGGACACACTGGTGATAAGTCCCTGCAGACATTGGTAATATAAGGGCTATTGAAAGGTGCGAAAACCTGCAAGATGGTATGTGAGCATTGTGTACTTAGAGAAAAGACTAGAGTGAAGTTCGACACTGTTATTCACAACATCCAAGGTATATTGGATTATATTCACACAGATGTTTGGGGCCCTTCCAAGCACACATCACTTGATGGGGCTAATTATTTTGTTATTTTTATACAGATGTTTGGGGCCCTTCCAAGCACACATCACTTGATGGGGCTAATAGTGGTATTGGTTTAGTCCGGATCAGGATGCATGACGGAGTGGTTAGGGAGTTGAAAGAAGTGAGGTTCGTGCCGCAGTTGACGAAGAATATCATTTCTCTTGGTACTTTTGAGGCAGGAGGTTATCGAGTGATCTTAGAGGATGCTACTATGAAGGTCACGAAGGGTTCTATGGTGGTGATGCGAGGTATCAGGAAAAACAATCTATACTACTTGAAGAGCAAAACAGTTACAGGGGGTCTGACAGTTTCTATCACTACAGAGGAGGACACTACCAGCTTATGGCACATGCGTTTAGGACACACTGGTGATAAGTCCCTGCAGACATTGGTAATATAAGGGCTATTGAAAGGTGCGAAAACCTGCAAGATGGTATGTGAGCATTGTGTACTTAGAGAAAAGACTAGAGTGAAGTTCGACACTGTTATTCACAACATCCAAGGTATATTGGATTATATTCACACAGATGTTTGGGGCCCTTCCAAGCACACATCACTTGATGGGGCTAATTATTTTGTTATTTTTATACAGATGTTTGGGGCCCTTCCAAGCACACATCACTTGGTGGGGCAAATTATTTTGTTACTTTTATTGATGACTATTCTAGGAGAAATCGAGTATATATCATAAAGCATAAACATGAGGTCCTGGATATTTTTGTGGAGTGAAAGAAGAAAGTGGAGTTGTAGATAGGTAAAAATATGAAGACTCTTCATTCAGATAATGGTGGAGAGTATAAGAGTGATTCATTTCTGTAGTTTTGTCGGGATTACGACATTAGGCGATACTTCACAGTTCAAGAGACACCACAACAGAACGGGGTGGCTGAGAGATTGAACTATACATTGTTGGAGAAGGTGTGATGTATGATGACACAGAGTGGATTGCCTAGATCCTTTTGGGTCGAGGTGTTAGTTTATGCGAGTCATTTCATCAATAGGTTGTCGTGCACTGCGATACAGGGGAAACTCCTATAGAGCGATGGTCTGGTTCGGTGGTTAGTGACTATGAGTTGCTTTGGATATTCGGGTGTCCTACTTATTATCATGTCAATGATAAAAAATTAAATCTGAGAGCGAGAAAAGCAGTCTTTATGGGATTTAGAGA